ACAATTTTTTAAATTAAAAAAAAATCTCGATCAATTTACTTCTTCAATTTTAGTTTTTATAATTCTTGCAAAAATCGCGGAGAGAATAAAGATGCGAAAACTAAATATTGGGAAATATTAGCGCACATCGCTAAAATACTCCAGGAAATCAACCTTTCAATGTGTGTGGAGGAAATGGTGGAGGGACTGAAAAATCTGGAGGTGGTAAAATGAATGGTGTGGGAACTGTCGATGCTGCTGGCGGATAACTGAAAGCACCGGAACGTTCTGAAACGAAATGTGGTCGGGGTGGTAACGAATTCTGTGCAAAGCTTTGAGTCTTCGGAAAAACACCGTAAGAACCATGGCTGCAATAAGATTTGTAGGTAACACGAAGAAAATTAGACATTTGAGAAAAAATTAAAAGCCATTTTGCAAGAATCTCGTAAGGAGATACCATGGTTCCGATGATGGAGTCTGTATTTTCGTCGACAACGGTACATTTCCTGAAAAAAAAAGGAAACATAACAGCGATGAAAAATGTTCGTTCACATACATCAAAAAATTGTGAGTGACAATGTGCTGACAATATTCTCTGAAAGAATGGAATTTGCACCGGAAATAGTGGAACTACCTAATCCTGGTGTATTTCCTCACGTAGAATTGCATAGAGATATGAAGACCGATACTGAAGATTAAAAAAGGTTCACCATACCAAAAACTCAATTATTTGATACATGCTAAACTTCTCATTAATCGATATCATGAAGCAATGCCACACCTGCATTGAAAGTTTGATCTTTCTCATGCAGAAACTCCATGACATCTTGTCCGATATGTGTGGCCAGTAAATTCATTCCACGTTCACTCATCAATATTTTTAACGTTTCCATACATTCCCGCAACGATCCTATTTCTTGCTTATGCATTTGGCGCATCTGCCTAAAAGACATCAGACCCGGTTGAAGAGCTTGTAATTAATATTTTTCGAGTTCTGAAAAATTTTCATTCAACCATTCAAACCACACGTAAAAAGATAATTTGAAACCAAAAACATACTCTAGTAATTTTCGACGATTGTTGAAAAGTCGAATTTGTTCTCGATCCAGTTCGTGCACATCACATAACAAATGTCGCAGACCTACATCACTTAGTTCTACCAGCTAAAACCTTTTGATTTCAAATATTATAAACTGAAAGGACAACAGATAACGGCACATAATATTTGATAGAGAATTTTTTTAATGAATGGAAAAAATTTTGTACAGAGGTTTTAAGTAGCAGGAAAAGTAATTAAATTAACCTCTTTATTTTGTAAAGAACTGAAATATAAGACAATATAAATCCAAAAAGACAAATTATTCACCGCATTTTACTTCTTTCATTTCTAGTTGCCTCTGAAAATTTTTACTATTGTAAAACATATTTCGCAGGAAACATTTTATGAAACATACCACATCTGGTGCTGGGATTTTTCGCACGCGGAGACAAATTTGTTCAGGTGATAAATGTGGATGCCGATAATCATTATCTGGATCAAAGCGTTGTGGAGCATCACGTTCTCGACCAGCGTGAAAATCACTTTCAAGTTCTTTTCTACGATATTCAATAAAACCATTCTTTCTGAAAGTTTTCAAAAACAAAAGATGTGAACGAATTCTTACATTTATTCTGAAAATACACTAATTCTTACATTTATTCTGAAAATAAACTACCCGAGGTCCATAATTAAGTCCATCATAATTGTAAACCATAATTATGGAGAAAACCATATTAAACTAATAAATTAGGCTTTGGGATAGCATTCAAATCATCCATCTAATTTTTCTGTTTTTCTATGCAAAGTCAAGAAAAATGTATTAACTAACGTAGCTTCCGGATGAGCTACACGAGCAGCATCCTCAGCTTCACCATCGCTGTCATCCCTGATTTCTCCAGAGCTTGAAGAGCTGAACAAAATTAATCGCTTAATTAAAATACAATACTGGGTAATTAAACAGCAGACTGAAAGTAGATAATGGCGTCTGCAACATGACAATTCGAAGAAAGATTTACATAAAAATTGAGTAACTGATAGGAAGTTTCGCAGAATCTAAATATTTGTTGAATTTTTTCCTCTCTTTCTGAAGACCTAATTTGAAAACAGCCACAATACAATCCCTTAATCTCCAATAAGCAGGAATTTTAAAAATAGAGTGAAAATTAATCAGAGAAAAGGCACATAAATGTAGAGTAAGATAATGATTCAAAGCACAAATAGAAGACTCTCTGACTGATTCTTTGTCAGCAAAAGCCTTATACTGACATTTACAAAGGTGTCTACCAACACACATATATACACTTTCTGCTATCCAAGCAAATGTGTTCTACCATACAAGCACACATTTGCTTGGATAACAGAAAGTAGGCCAAGTATAATCGGAAAGAAAAACGGGGGACATTTAAAAACATAAATTAAAACTCGTAGGATGGTAAAGTTGCAATAACTATTATTGAACTGTGAGGAGATATATTAAAATCCTAGAAATTTCAAGTAAGAATACTGATGTGAACTGAGTCAATAAAAGTCTCAGTCATCAAAACTTCAGCCTTTGGCTGAAATTTTTCTTGCGCTCATGCATTGCCATGCCCAGTTCGTGGTTACTGTCCCAAGTGCACAGGCTACATCGAATAAATTGAACAACAAAGTCATATTTTGCAAAAATTTATGCTACTTTTTACAAGCTTTTGCAGTGCAATTATTTATCCAGTTCAGAATCTTATTTAGGTCTTCTTTCCAATCTTCTTCGTCTTCATTCCTTCGAAATCTCTCCCTCGCCTTTATTATGATAAAAAAAATATAAAACCAGGAAAGAAGTGAATAACAAAACAAAGAGTAAATAAAGAAAACAAAAATTTCCACGCCAATTTTTTTAAAATATTTATGGGACGGTAAAATTCAAAAATATTTATCTATAGGGACTACCCGCATGGCGAAGTTGATGGCTTTTCTTTTACCGCATTCTTCCGCTTATTTGATCCCATCACGTTGGTATCTGAAACTTTTTATCAACATTTAATAAATTAGGAACAAAACAAGAAAGATCCATAAATGGATAAATTTTTGAACAGAATTTTAAGAGATTAATGATAACAAATGCGCGTCAAAACGTCACTCGATGTGTGGTATTTCAACTCCCAAATTTTAAAACCACGAAAGTTTTTAAGCAAAAAAAAGCTGAAATCCATATAACCATCAGTTTAATTAAACGGCAAATTTCACCCTTTTCTAGAAACCTATACATATATATCCATGTCCGGCATGCACGTGATATGTTATTAATCACCAGAATAGCTCGATATAAACCCGCGCTATCCGGAATCATCAATTTTATCCAGAAAATACCGGAACACTTTTTTAATGTAAGAAAAAAGCTTAATCTAACAAGGAAGAAAATTCGGAAATCCACTACTATTTAAGAGGTATGTTTTTCCCATGGCACGGAATTCAATTTAAATAACTCAGGATTTATTCTTAAATAAAGGCAGATTAAAAAATGTAAACAAGCTGAGGTTTAAGTCTGTGTGAAAAAGAACGAAATATTTATAATATGCTCGTATTCTTACCTAAAAAAACTAAACTCAAGTCTACTTTATGGCAAAAAATAGGAATAAGTCAAAAAACTATATATTCATATTTAAGCGGGGAAAAGACTGACTTATATAGAATAAAATAAAAATAAAATGTAACAGTAAAACATTAATTTCTGAAGTAAAATTTAAAATCCCGTATTTTCTGGATAAAATTAAAAACATACTCAGAATACAGTACATATGTGTGTAAATGCACCCATTAACCATTTACTGTATGCAATCAACGGAAAAACACTACCGATCGACTGTTCTGTATCGCCCATAATAATCAGCTTACAGTACACGTAGAACACAGACGTGACACATCAAATCCGGAACTTTACGCTACGTCAACTTTACGTTACGCCAACCCGAATAACACAGTGATTCCTCTCCAAACGAACCTTTTCCTCCCTCTTTTTTCGACTGCACAGAAAATAGGTGCACAGAAATGTCAGAATCAAATTGTATCGAATGCGAATATTCCGTCCAGGAGTTGAAATTTGTATTACAGCATTATTAGTGATCAACTCTAGTAGGGCAATGGCATTTCAATAAGAAGGTCAAAGGTCAGAGAAGAAAGTTTCCAGTTATGAATTGCGAATTTCTTTTATCGGAGACTCGAAGTTTAAAAGTGATTTCTTTCCTTTAGCAGTTAAATTACGCAATTATTTTTGTTGTCGTGAGGATATGTGTATAAATTTAATGATTTGGAAATATATTTTCTTTTCTCTTTCAGCTTTCTGATGTAATTTATTAAGTTTATACCAACCAGTATTAAAATTAGTGTAAAATTCATCGTTTCTCTCTTAATGCTATCAGTGCAAAAACAAAAGAATAAAAATTTAATCGATCTGATTTATTATGTAAATAGCTGTTATGCACGTACTTGTTCTCATATCAGTTTTAATTTTCTAGGTATCATTATTTACTTCATCACAAAAACAAAAAAAAAACAAACAGTAATTGAGAGCAAAAGGTTTTACTATATTGTTCAATCCGGCAACCCTTACAACAATTCGAATAATTACAAATTGTTTGCTTTAAAAACAGAATAAAAAATTAGCGAAAAGCAAGATAATCGATTGTTTATCAATATTATTTATGTTAAAAAAAATTTACCGATAATAAATCTCGACACAATGCAATTACTCATTCTATGAAGCTTATGTAAAAATTAACTTTCACGAAATATTCTGCCAAATTAATATTTCAGCAAATTAAATTGCATGCAAAAAAATGGTATATATTATATATCGATTCATTCAATAAGAAAAAGATGTTGAAAACTTCGGCTAAGGAAAGAATGGAATAAAATGTAATGAATAAATTAATTTGTAACAAAAATTTACTTTCATAAAATTTAATAATAAGAAAACATCACAATGATGAATACTTATAGCGCACTAAATTGATTGATTGCATGAAAGAAAATGAGGTAAAAATAGAATAGAAAAAGAAAAAAGCCTTTGAAGATACTTCCACATTTATTTCACAGATTACTAGGTCGATTACGCAACAAATATTATATGTAACTATTACGTACACCTTGGAAATGATTAAAGATGCTTAAAAGTAATTTAGAGTTGACGTGCGTAAAGTTCCCGATTTGATGTGTCACGTCTGTGATTTACGTGTACCGTCACCGTCAATAAAAGTCAATAATCGATAGGGTTTTTCCGTTGATTATATACAATAAATGGCTGGTTATTGAATGTATTTGCATGTATGTATATCTTTTCTCAATATGTTTTTTCATCCAGAAAATGTGGAATTTTAAATTTAATTTCAGAAAGTTAATGTTCTATTTTCACATTTCATCTTTAATACATTCATAATTGTTCAGTTTTTTTTCCCACTCATATATATGTATTTTCCGACTTATTTCTATTTTCTTCCCATAAAGTAGACTTGACTTCAGTTTCAATAGGAAAGGATGATGCGAAAATGAGATCCAATTTCCTGCATAAAATTCAGTCCTCATAGAAAATTCAATTCTCATAAAAAAGTCATAATTATGTTTTGTACTTGCTAAAATTTGCTGCCAGAATCTTTCTTTATATTTTTTAAATTTGATGAGGGAATTAAAAGTTTGATGCCGCTACAAAATTTGCATTCTTCTTGTATTTGATAAATCATTGAATGAGCATTCTTTGGGATTTAAAAATCAAAATTTGATGGAATGGAGAAGACAAACATAAATATCGCGGTAAATTTTTTGTAGCCACCATTTTCATCAACATTTTTTTGGATCTGTAGAACTTTATAACCTTCTTTGACCCTTTAACTCTAACAAATTCCAGAAAACAATCAATTTACCGCACATAATTCATATGCTTTGTTGGAATACCTAACATTTTTATCTTAATTCGTTTCTTCATCAGTATGTCTATAAATCACCAAAGGCTGTTACTTGACTTTTTGTCGTTGAAAATCGATTGTAACAATGTGTCGTTATATTCCACATGCATGAAATGTTAAAGAAATTCAACGTAACTTTTGCAGTCACAGTTATTTACAATTATAATAATATAAGTAGACCAGCATTTAGTTGTTTGTTTATAATCAAAATTAAAGACAAAAATGAATAATTGAATAATAAGGCAACAACAGCCGGAAGATTCCCAAAAAAAAAGAAATGTCCTATGAGACAGTTGAAAGTCTATTTTGAGAATAAATAATTATTTTATGAAAATACGAGTGCCTGTAAATAAATAGAAATATCTTTTCAGGTTCATAAATATCAATAGCAACAAGCAAATGACAATGGTCAAAGTTCTCTCACGTAAATTTCCATGTCAGCAAGAATACTGTCAATAAATACCAATATGGTAGTGCGACAGACGTTTTCTCTAAAAGAAACAACTGATTTTAAAAGCATTTATTTGCTATCTAAAAGATTTCGACGCAGGAAAACCTTTATCATAACTAAATCAACATATCAAATATTCAATATAAAAACCTTTCTAGTGTCTAATAATAAAAACTGAAAAATTTTTAAATTCTGATTAATTCCAGAACGAGATATGTTATTCATTTCTTTTCGTCCTGCTGCGACAGTTGAAAACCAGCTCGGATCGAAGAAATTGAACCTTTCGTCTTCGCTTTCGGCCCCATATTTTTACCCTTACTTTGTTGAAAACGTAGCAATGAATCAATTTTACTTTTCTCCAATGCTTCCGGATGTAGCCGAAAAACAACTTCATGCCTGAAAATTATGCATAAAAAAATTTATTTGGTTTGCCAAAGGTTTTCACTAACCGTTTTGATGAGTAATATTTTGCGCGCTGTTTTCGAATGATAAATATTCTACGAATGTGGAATGGTAAAACGATTGAAACAATTTAGAAGGCGGGAGAAATTTTGGTCATTCCACACAACTGTTCTTTGAAATCGGGACATTACTCTTTTAGCTCATTTATTTGTAAAAAATGGCGGCTCCTTCTAAGTTGCTGAATCAGTTTAGAAAGTTAAGCATAGAACTGGTAATAGTTACGCTAAAAAAGGTATTATATAAAAGTTCCCCGAAAGAAATTTTGCTTACTTTATTTCCTGCTCCAAAATGGCTTTTCCGGCACATTCTTCTGTAAACCGATCGACTGTCACATTATTATTTTTTGCCTGTAAGTTAATTATTTAAATTATGCAATATAATGAACGAAATAATATTAAGAAATAAAACAGTTTTTAAAAGTCATTTTTTATTACCTATGAAACAATCACTGTCTAATTCTAATGAAAAGAATCTAAGTTTCAATCTTCCTTCCTATATATAGAAAAGTATAACATCCTGCAATTAAAAGATTTGATCCTTTGTTACCATTAATAACAAACGATCTCCAGAATGAAATTTTTTTTAGTGACCAGGAAAATTGTCATGAATAACAGATATATTGTGAAACACCGATAATCGTATTAAAAAAATCATGGAAGCATTATATGTAATTATTGATTTCCATAATACTTCACAGAATATTACTCTTTCTTCAGCGAAGAGAATTTCATATGATGTTGTTTTTGGTTTTCGGCGATGCTGTTCCATTGCATATATTCAAATTTCTAATATAAAATTGATATACAAATGTTACCACAGTTCGAGCGATATCCCATAAAAATGATGTTGGAGCATCGGTTTTGATTGCTTTTGGATTACAGTGAGAAATGGAACAACGATAACCCGCATTCATAAGTGCTGAGCGGAAATCAACTGATTTTGGCACTGCTGATTTCACAACATGCATCAATTGATCATATTCATAATATAGAGGAATATCTGGTAATTCCTGCAAAATCCAAATAAATCAAATTACTTACATATTTACCAACCTTTGATTGTACTGAATCGATATGATTATACAATCTTAAACCATTGGATAGGACAACTATGAATTGCAAGAGAACGACGTTATAAACTCTAAAAAAATTCCTATTTCCGAACAATTCTAAAGCCCATTGTACTAGTCCAAAAAAATTCAATTAGAATGATCAAATTACTGATAGTTCCTTTTACCGTATATTCATATTTCATCGCGTATGCATGTGGGAAAATATTTTGCTTCTCATTTCCGAAAAAAAATTCAATAACCATTTAAAATCTTAACAATTATGCTGCATACCAAATATATTAGAAGAATATAGTTCTTGAGGAAATTAAAAATCGTAGTAAGTTTTGAGATGAGACAATCATTCTTTAAATCATTAATGACATTACTATGATCACTCTATCTCTAAAACTATCCGATTACTCAACACAGCACATCTGTTAATGATGAACACAACTATGTGCCTGATTCAATATGCATTCATGTCTTAAGAAAAAAGGCTTCCTGTTTTTATCGTGACATGATTCATAATGATTGGAATACATACTATTTTTAGTTGATAACTTTTTCAGAAAATTTTTCAATCTAAAATTTTTAATCTAAATTTTTTTTAATCCAAAATTTTTAAAGCTAAACAAAACAATCTGCAAGTTGGGAATTATGATTTTTGGTAATCTTTAAACATTGCTACCCTCAAAATTAACAGCAAGTTCAGTGATAGAGTTTGAAACAAGAATATTTGTATAGCATAAACAATGTTTAGGATTGAAGAAAAAGAAAGCCAACGAAGATATGACCATACCTCAGCAATGACGGTTAGAACTCCAACTGCACGCAAATATGTTTGAGATCGTTTTTCCTCTGGAAGTGTTTTTAACCTTCAATTTACAAATTACAATAATTAAATTAAATCAGCTTATGCATGAGATATTCTAAAAAACATTACGAGTGCTAAATTATCTCCCCAAAAAAAGGCTTCATATATTTAGTATCAAACGATCCATTTCACGATAGGATACATCTGTGGTAACTGTATCCGCTAAAGATAGAGCAAAGAATTCACTGAACAGCTGTTTTCCATTGCTTTGCAGCTGCACTCATATATTTCAGTTTTTTTCATGCAAATAGTAAATTTGGGAAGAGCAAAATTTTTTGACACTAATTCTTAATAAGGTTTGAAATAAAAAAATTTTCCAGAAAAAAAATCTCACCTTTCCAACAGTTTATTCACAAACTGGTGATTATGTATTGGTGCACTATAAATTGGACCAGCCATATGCACAGACTGTTTGCAATGTACACATTTTCCATCCCTATCTAACAAGGATACATCAAATGTTTTCGGCGTATATTTTATACTGTTTCCATTTTTTATCTTTTTTACAAGTGGTTGCAAATGCAATGAATGACAGCCAGTACATGCGAACACATGTGATACTTTCCTAAATTAATTATTATTTTTAAACGTTTAAAAATATTCCAAAATAACAAATGCATGACTGATTTATGAAAAAAGACACTGTATATTATTGATATTACTATTCTCAAGTACTTTCTTTTTTATTAGTACGACCTTGATAAGTTCGATTCCAGTCTTTCGAGGAAGAATTTACTAGGCATTCCAATTTTTACAACTTAAAAAAGATTCAATGCAATGCACACATTTTCCATAGTAAAAAAAAATCAAAATATGTATCAAATGAAGCACAACTTACATTACACTATCCTTGGCGATGAATGCACTTGTATGTAATCTAACGAAAACTCGTAAGTAATAATCGATGCTTACGGAAAGTAATGGTTCGATATATCTTCCATAACAATTTGCATGTGAATCAATAGCTCTCAGCAAGACACGAATAGCCTGGAAATCATTCCCACTTTTTCTAAATTTACAGCAAGAAATAGTTGAAAGTAAAAAGTAAAACGAAAGGATTAAAATTCCATGCAAATTCTCAATCCAATAATATCTTTCTTAATTTGTATTTTAGTTGTATTTTAGCAGTTAGTGGTAAAATAGCAAAAAAAAAAAATGAAAACGTGCAATCAAAAAATTAAGCTATTTTTCAAGAAGTTGAAAAATGAATATAGTTCTGGAAAGTTTATACTTTCTATCAGAAAAATGAAAGTGATTTAAAATAAGATACAATCGAATTTATACTTTTATTTTATTGGCATAATTCACTAACTTTTTTAAAAACTGATTCAAAAGTGTCATAAAATAATTTCGTAGAAGCACTAAAAAGGAAAATTCAAGGTAATATGGACGTACAAATTCGTGACAGCTTTTATGCCGTAAGCCGACAGAACCATATTTGTTATAGCACGATTCAGGCGTATTACCACACAGCACAGCCATATCCGTACATGTAACCATTAAAATGCCTGTAAATATGAGATCAATAAAGAATGAATACTATGGTAATTGAAAACTATTAGTGCTGCATATTGCATTATTATGCATAGTAAAAGCTAGAATGATAGTGATAAGTTGCTTAATGATGCTCAATTGTGCAATTCAACTTTTTTAATGTTTTTTTTTAGTAAAAAGTCCTGAAATAAATTCACTGTCCTTACAATAAAATAAAGGAATTATCGACTATGAGAGTGGCGATAATAACGTCGTATATGGCGAGGTACACAGATGGACATAATGAACATAAATATATATACTATGGCTACAAATTAAGAGTTGTAATGAGTGTGTTCGAGACTTTCAACATGGCACATTTACTGCATTCAACTTCTTATGATATCGACTCAGTTAAACATTCTAAGCGTACCAAGATTTAAAAAAAACTACCGGTTATGGTATCAAAGATATGTGGTACAATTAAAATTCTTCACTCCTCACTATCACTCGATCAATCGAACTACCTAGTGGATATGTTTTCTATTTCATTTAGACTATTGACAACTGAAATGAGACAGGAAAACCTTTGTCCGTAACAGCCTGCACTGCAGAACTGAGAAACATTGATGCTGAACCATATGGATCAATATCGATTGCATGAAATCGCTTATCAAATGAACGATTAGACATCATTGCATCTCTGAAAGAAATGAAGTAGCAAGAAACTATAATAAAAAAAAAACAACCTAATTCATAATCCCAAATACTTCCCGTCATATCTATTTGTAATGGTTGCTAACTGTCTGCAAAATCTATAGGATTTACTAAATGTTCAAACTTCAATATGAACAGCACTAGGATATATATACCGATCCAAAACATTCGAATTCTTTATCTTGTTTTATTCGCAATAGACAGATGTCACATCTCGCCAAATGACAACAAAAGCACTATTCGAATGTCATACAAGAAATGTTATCCTTACAAACTACAGGTAGTAGCATACCTTATGAACGGTTATCACATTGAAAGAAAACTACATATTTCATCACCATACAATGTATAATTGTAAAAGAAAGTTCATCAGTTAGAGTCATAGTGATCAAGAATAAATCTCTTAGGATGAGTTAATTTTGGCAGTTTATATTCAAGTCAAAAAAGCAACTCGTTTATAACACTTACACCGCATCGCCGCACCTTGATTCCACAAGATTCTGAACACCATTCATTTCAATATTTTTATTCATTATACTCACAGCTTGTTTCGAAAAATCATTTGCAATTATTTTAGCTACAGATGGAACCTGTAAAATAAGACTTTCATTGAGTCACCACTTAAATGAATCTGACTTGTCCGCACCAACGATTTTACTATCATAATCATAATAAATAAAATTTTCTAAAAAAGCTATCTAAATGGCTTGAAAGCATGAATACGATATCTAAATGAATAAAGTTCCTCACTTCCTTAGCAAACCGAATAGCCCTTAAACCACTTGCAGACAACGCGTCCAAAATACGTATTTCAGAATCCTGCAATAGCAATTATGCCATCATTAACAATTTTTGAAAAAAAATTCTGGAAGTAAACAATCAATCTAGAGTTCATATAAATAAACCCAGTATTTAATTTATAATTTTATTCAACCACAAATTTCCCATCAAATCTTGAATTTAAACCCACATCACAAACTCCATATTTTCGTGATCGTTTTGGTGCTGGCTCCGCGTTGCCATTCTGTCCATTACATTTCTTTTCTTCTAACTCCTTTTTCCGATCTTCCATGAATTGCTGCAGTACCAAAATTCTGAAAATATACTATGATATTCACTAAAAACTACAAGTAAAACGTTAGCACGTCAATGAATCAATCGGCAGATTAAATTGCCTAATGATTGGTGTCATAATTCGTTTTACATCACATAAATTTAGTCGTATGTTGTTAATTATAGACACTCGCTTCGTTTATAATCTCCTATACAAAAAAGACTAAAATAAAAATAAAGCACAGCTTACGTTAAATCACGATTGAATTGTTGTGCAGGATTGTAGAATGCTACGGCCGAACTAGAGATATCTAACTTCGTCGTTCCTTCGACAATAAAATTAGAATTATTTGTATCATTATCGTCGATTGGAGTCACTGTTTGCTCTACAATCACTCGATTTTCTTGCCTCATTTTCACATCCATAATTGATTAGTAAATTATACCGACGCTTATCAATTCCTGAAACTACATTTCTTACTTTTAAAATTTTTTAAAATTAAACATTATTCGAAACAATGAAACAAAATTGGCACGACAAAGGCGCTCATTTAAATACAAGAATAATATTTTAAAAAAGCTTATAATGAATATAGTTTAACTCCAGCCATAATCGTATTCTCTTCTCATTATACAAAAAAGTTGTTATCAGTTAAATGTAACAAGATTATGATGGAAAATTGATAAGAAATGACATAAGATATTAAAACCGTTGTATCATGTAACCTGTGAAAGTTCAGATACTTTAAAAACTAACCTTCATAATATCCTCCACAGAATAATTTTCGCAGTAGTCTTCCGCTAAAACTAGTAATATATTTTTCCTATTATCATCAGCTTAAAAAATCCTCACGATAAGTATGACCATCCTATTTTCATATATTCATATTAACGACAAACAGAAGTACAGAAAAAATTCTATCAAATGAATACAAGTAAAAGTACAAAATTTAGTTCCCCATCGTAAGTTTCTGTTTAAGTAAATGCTAACATTTAATATGAATTGATTCAATCATTCGCAAGATAAATAATCCAATAACATCATGCATAAAAGTGCTTTTAAGGAAAGTCCAAACCTTGAACTCAGCAAGATGTCCATAATCGATAGACAATAAAATACAGTGATAATAAGAAACGATTATCCTTCCCATTCAAACGTCCATTTTGGTTCAATAAAGTTAAAGACATCATATGTCCTGAGGTAATTCTTTTTAAATTTACTATAAAACAATCAAACTAAGAAATCAAAATGAACAATTCTGCAAAGAAGGCACGACAAAGAAGAGTAATCAAATTTTTATCGATTATTAATAGATTAATAGGTTTTAATGAAGATTTCAGTTTGGTTTCAATCTGCATCCAGAAAACAACAATAATTCTTTTCGTCAAATTTATCACAAGGCGAAGAATTCATATTACCAATATTTGTAAATGTCAAAATACACCACTATTAATGAATACAAGAATTAAAGTGCTTTATACATATGTATACATTGATTTATTTAATTTGAAAATTCTAGCAAACTAAAAAAGACAGAAGGATACAACATATTCTAGGAAAATTAGAATGATTTAATTACAAGTATCACAATACTCAGAAAAACAGTGTCATAGTACCTTCGTCACTTCGTAGCTTTACAGATTTTCTTTCTGAAGGAATTCAACTTTGTATTATCCAGTCAAATCAAAGCTCGCTAAATATATCGGCTTGATAACTGACATTATGACGCTTTTACAAACGAACTGACAGGGATTTCTAATAGAAAGTCATCATTATCATCAACTACCAGTCATTATGAATAAAAGCTTCTTAAGTGGTTAAAATAAAAAACATGGCAGTAGAAAAGTATTTAAATGATTAAAATAAAAAACATGGCAGTATAAAATATGGACTTTCAAAATACTTCTTCGGCACTTACCACACTACAAAAAAGAGATGAACACGAAACTGTGCAAGAAAATCTAATATCGCCTGTCATTTCTCAGGAATATGTTAAGCATAGTAATTTGTACAAACATCTTCACAATATCCAATTATTTGGATTCGTAACCGAACCATACTTTTTCTTCGCAACTACCCTGACATTTGTATGTCACCATCGGTATTGCTTTTCGAGATGAAAGTGCCAAAGTTTTCAGTTGCTCACCACAATCTGGACATCTAAAAACACAAATTTTGTAAGAAGTGGAGTCGAACAAATCAATGTTCCGTTTTGGCCTAAACTGATAAGTAAATTTAGCCTGAAACTTTTGAATGGAATTCTAAGATTCTTTTTCCATACCTTACTATTTAAACTTTAAGACGCATACAAATGCAAACATAACAAAAAAAGGAAAAGGGAACCTTCGAAATAACTTCAATAAATGCTCATCATCAACCATAAACAATTTTCGATTAGTTTCCTTGATCATATCTCGTTTACCATCAACTGCTAATTTTGCAACATGACTCGCACAGTTACTGGCTGAGCACAATTTCGATATTCTTAAGCTGACAAAATAGTAATTTCACTTAAGCCATTGCTGGCAACTCAGTATCCATAAATAACGTGCAATAACGAGCAATACATGACTAACCATCATACGCACAGATAAAAGATACATGTCTAATTCCTTTCGCAAATTTGAGTCTAACTCCTTTCGCAAATTTGAGCATTAAGTCCTTTTGTTGTTTCAACTACATTTCGGCATCAACACATTAGTATGGTGAAACAAAAAATATCAACAAAAATTTCAAATATACCTTGTGGAGACAGAGGTAATACCAGATTCTGCCCCAGTTTCACTAGCTAGTGTTTGACCACCAAATACTGTTTGATTCCTGCCACTAAAATTATTAACTGGTTCGCCTGAATCTCTTGAAGCAAACGAGAGTTTTCTTGTTTTTCCAGGTGCATTCTTGAAAAAAGAATAATTAAGTACTTCCAAATGGAATAAAAGCTTCAGAAACTTGATCAGTTATAATAAGCACTGAAATCCTAACAAAAGATACCAACTAGTTTTGGTTAAGTGCTCATTCAAAGACTATTTTAAAAGCAAATAGCAATCAGTACTTGAGATAAAAACTCTATTTACATATTTAGGATCAGCCGTTAATTGAAATAAAACTCACAGAAATTAAATGAAATCAAAGGAAGCAATTAATTTACCAGTTCTGAAGTACCCTCCACTGAAATTCTTGCTTGTTCAATGTGCATTCTTTCTCCCGATAGCAAACCATCCGCATCCGGCACTGCCTTAAGATCCGATATAACTAAAAAGGAAACTATTAACTTTTCAGGAGAGAAATAAAAATTTATTTTTATATGTAATGAAGTAGAGAAAAAATTTTCCAATACGTACGAGATTGCGATTCATCGGTCACAAAAGCACAACCATCTTGCTTCCGTGGCGCAAATGACCATTCGTTATCTGTTTGTGTCTAAACATAACAATCATTCTCTAATATCAAAAAAAAAAAATGAAAAGCAATTCATAAAATATGTATTAACCTGTAGTATACCATTAATATCGATCTTCCAAATATTTTTCAAAATATACTTCATCATGCTAAAAAAACCTTATTGGTCCAATGTTTCTCATCCTTTCGTCAAAAAAGCTTAAAATGTTTTTTAAATTAAAATACTTATATTTGCTCAATTTCCACTGAAACTGAATAACAGAGAAAAGAAGACGAATTTTGATAATTAGAAACAAAAAAATACATACTTTTCCTAGCAACACATAACCGTTATGTTCACATTACCCGTTTTTATCCAATGGGAAATTCCCGCAATGCTCAGAATAAATAAATGAATAAAAATAAAAACAAAACACCTGAGCGCCAAATCGCTCTAAAATAATTGAACCAGGACGAGAATCTGGATGTTTCATCTGCTCATTCAACTTTCTGCGTATTTTTTCTGAAATTAACTAATGATTTGATCCATCTAATTTTCTAACCAACCTAAAAAGAAACCAAAGCCAATTTTTGTAATAATAAATGAAAATTTGTTTCTAAAAAAATGAAGCAATATAAATTGTTACCAACCTTCATAACTTATTAATGTTTCTCCATATGGCCTTGCATATGGATGCCTCGCCTGAAATGACCTTAAAATCACGCACTTGATACATAAAATTAATTGTCCTGGATATTAAAAGTAAAATATAATGAAAGTCTGATAAAAATAGAACTTACGTTTTCATTTCGTGACTTGCACTTAACTTTTTTCCACTGAGGATGATATTTTGTAAGTTGTGAAACCCTCCCTGCCTCCTCCAGCAGAGCTCTTAAGTCGCCCTTAAAAAGAATTTCAAGATGCCTTTATTTCGATTTCTTTCGAGTTATTTTATTCAAAAAATGGACAATTATCTGCCATCCCAGTTCACCACTACAAAGTAGAGAATCCATGGTGTCTTGGCCAAGTAATTTTATAAATATACCCCTTGAAAATTAAAATGAAAAATTTGTAAACTTGAAAATGAAAGTTTAAATCAAAACTTTGGAAATGATTCAACATAAAACGTAGTAAAACTTGTTGTATGAAGTCATATATAAAGCAATTTATGAAGTCCATAAAATTTTTGAAATTAAATTTCAAGAGTCTGACGAATTTCCATTGCAAACTTAACAATTTATTCTAAAAAAAAGCTCATTTTACTTTTGACCAAGCTTCGAAAGGAGTCATCATTTCGTTGATCACTTCTTGACGAATTTCTCGATCTATCTGCATAGCTCTTAGTTGTGAAAAAGATATCGGTTTACATTCAGGATGATGTGATGGAAATGGTTCACCAACGATATTGTCATGGATCATTTTGATGATCGGTGATGGATGACAGTCTTGAACTTCACGTCGTGACATGTGGTCGCATGTTGAGCAGCGATAATAACTGTAGTAATGACGTGTCGTTGATCGACGGTAAATTCGCACACAATTACTCTGTGGCTCCTTGATCGCTATATTGTTCAAATTTCCACGTAAATTTCGTATTACTTCATAAAATTCCGGTCCAAACCTATATCATACAATTAATTCGCTCAGTTTATCATATAGAAATAATACGAATTTAAAAGATTAAAGTGTTCAATATCTTGACAACTGTCAAATATCAAAAATAAAATCTCGAAGAATCACATAAAACAGTTGCAAACAACATATCTCAATTTGTAAAAAATCTATAATTTCAATAATAACAGAAGGAAACAATTTTGAGATTAAATAGTTTAACAACACTTCAATATATTAACAGCAACGCTTCAATATAACTATATTTGACCAATTTGCTGATATGAAACAAAGTTATCTCAAATTTCACACCATGAATTTCAGCTCTTGCTATAATCAAAATATTATTTCCTTGTCATTACATAAATTCCAGCCGAATTTCTGCCGAAGTATAAGCAAAGAGAATTTAAAATGTAAAAATCTGCAAAAAGCAATTTTTCAAGTTCTAAATTCAAAAACTAAATGAAAAAAAAACTAACTTCTTTACAACAATTGGGTGCTTTTTTTCTAAGATATTTTCGCTGTCGCCTTCACGCTCTTTTTGATTATTTGACTGTCCTGATTGTGGCGAATCGGAAAAATGTAAAGCACGATTCTGTACCGATGCTACCGTTACCTCGTGTCCCAGAATAACCGATATCCGACTGGCTGCTTCCGCGAATTTCAATTCACCTTTGAGTAATTTGGTCATAATTTCCTTCACTTCAGGCCTTTTCCATTCCTCACTAAATATTCAATGTGATGTTCTAATTTAAATCCTTCAGAAAAAAGCTTGAATAAAAAATTGACAAAGTTATCACAGCTGATCATCTGACATAACTTCTTTTATGGTTTAATCTTTCAAATTACGACTTTAATTGATACTGAATTTTAGGGTGGGAGATGGGAGATGAGAAAAAAAATTAATAATCTCAATTATCTCAACTCTGTAGTTAACTTTCATTTTATAATTTTGATTTAAAAAAGAGAAAATTTTTACACCATACTTGAGCAAATTCATCTGTATTTCATACTCGTGTTCATCATCTTGCCATGTGGTTCGAGGTTCTTGGGAATCTTGACCATTTGACACTTCGCTACCTGTTTGATTTGATACATCTGCTTCTGTTGACTTTGACCAAACTTCTTGACATTCAGTAACAGTAGCACTAGCACACACCTGTCTTGTGTCTTGTGATGTCGAACATGTTTGTTGCTGTATGCTATCTGTACACGACTGCTGCATGCTATTCATTACCAATCGTTGCACCGTTTGCGAAACTGCATGTTGCGCATTATCTACATTTACTCCTTGCGTCGTATGTGTACTTTTCATTTCCATTTCTGGAAAAATTTCGAAAATTAACGAAAATTTTGACATAACATACAAATAGTGCCAATTTTGACACCGATATTTGCAAATAAATTATGCGCAAAATGACAGAAATCGTGGAGAACTTGCATGTTATGACTGCCTGCGGTGTTTAATCAAGTCATAGAGCTAAAATGTTGATGAATACATTCACTTTAATATACCAGAGAAATGAAAATCATAAGATCAGCAAAACCTACAGGACCGAGAAATCAACTCCAAGAAGTCTTCCGAAATGGAGCAGTGATATAATTCCACCCACAGGAACCACTCGCTCCAATATTTCTTGACATTTTTTTTTACATTCCTTCAATTTTTTTGTTATAGAAAAATTCATTTCTCTTATCGCTTTTAGGTTATACTTCATGAACTTTCATCCAAAGATTTTCTCAAGTTCAGGTTTCATTTGAACCTAAATTCAAGAAGCATCTCAAAATAAACGAATAAGTTTATCGATAGTGTGTATAAGTATACAAACAATGACAACACAAAATTTTAGAATCACAAGCAATACGAGCATACAATAATACTGGAAATGTTTCAAAAAATCCTTCCTTCCATTTATTTCTATAAAGCAAAAAAAAAAATGCTGAAAGCATATATAAATTGTCATAATTAGATTTAGGTCTTTAATTCCTTTAAATTAAGTTATTGAGAATTTCTTTCGTTGCACACTATTTCTTGTATAAGTGACTTTGTGATTAGCTTTCAGACTTTAAGTTTATCCTTTTCCATTTCTTTTTTCATTTTATTTTAAGCAAGCGAAACACTTTGAAATTAGATTTCGAGAAGAAAGCTAATCCATTTTCTGTCCAAACCATATAGTTTGCTCACATTTACTACACTGATAAGCAACTGTTGGCGTAGGTGAATCAGCATACAACGTCACCTGCTTCAACTTTTCACCGCATCCGGAACATCTGCAAATCAACATTTTCTGAAAATTACCACAAAAGCAAAGAAAATTAAAAGAATCCAATACGCTAGGTTTAAAATATTTCAAAAAGTTTGTGATCACTGCAAATTTGAAAAAGTGAACCTCTTGAAAAGCTGCAAAAGCTGCTCTGCTTCAACCATAAAATATTTTCTATCTGTTTCAATGATACACTCTCGATCGTCTTCTACGTATCGTCGCTTAACTGGAGTATTTTCAACAAACTTTTCTTTGCATACAGTAGCCTTTGCCGAACTTGACCTCAAAAGGAGGAAAGATTTAAATTTAACGTTAAAATAAGAGAACTCCAGATTTAATGAAATAACATTAACACAGATAAAAAAAGGGTTGAAATGCATAAACAAATACCATTATGCACATGTCTGAGCGGTAATGAAGAAAAAGAATCCCTATTCTTAATTCATTAGCATTTAGCTCTATGGAATTATAAAATACAGATGCACCTATTTGTTCCGCGTACTTGAAAACCTTTAGCTAATACAAACTTACCCTATTATATCAGAAGTTAAATTTCGATGTTATTTAAAATTAATACCTTTTGATGCCATTAAACAACTTTTTAAAATTCTTTCCTCACTGATAATAGAAGAAAAGATCCAAATAGAATTTATGAACTCTTCACCTAAACAACCATTACAAGTCTATTCCACACTTCCACAAAAGTAACTGAAGTGCAACTGTTACCTATCAATGCCACCATCCAAGCTATCTTCTGAAACCAATCTTTCTTCACCACTTGTTAGTGGTGCAATGTTTGCCATACCTTCCCCAACAACAAAATCATCTTCATAATACGCTTCCTCCGGATTACCGTAAGATTCATCATAATCTAGTACCTAAAATGTTATTAAATTCGCAAAATTTGCAAAGAACCATAAAAAAATTAGTGCACAAATAAAAAAGGACTGCTGATGAAAGTAAAAGAAATTCAAAAAAAGTAAAAGAAATCCAAAAAAGAACAAAAAACCAAAAGCAAATTACAAGAACAAAATGAAGATTAAAGAACTAGAACTTCTTTGGTCACAAAACAATGTATTTGTCAGCAAGACATCATAAATGTTACCGGCACTAGTATGTGAAAAGCAATATTGAATGAATTCTGAATTTTGAAGGATATACAAGAATCAGAAAGTTGAAACAAATTTATAATGAGTTAGTCGTTATCCATAAACAAACTCACTTGTTCCCTTTCCATCCACTCTGCGAAATGTGGTCTGTTAAAGGTTGGTTGAATAGGCCTCACACGAAAGTAATGAGGCAATAACATCTGTGTATCTATCCTTCCTTCAGCACCTGAAATAATTTGAAAAATGTCTAACAATCACTTACTTTGCGTTCTTTGTTGTTACAAGCAAACTTCATATGTACAGAACCCAGAAAAATCAAGAAGCACTGCACAGTAAATTCTCTTTCACCAATTAGTTCAATAAATTATTAATAGGAAAATCATCCCAATTCCAACGAAAAAATAACTCCTATAAAGAAAGTCTTGCATTTTACTACTTAATCAGTTGATCAATTACGCTAAGTTATTATGTTTTACACCATTAATTACAGACAGTCTCAAAATCTTCTTACCCAGTTCATCCGTATCATTTTCGATATCGATGTTTTCATTTGTCATATCATCCGTAATCATAACGTCATTTGCAGGTCTATCATGCTGTAAACTTTACTTATATAGTTGTAATGAAAGCTTTGAACAAAAACTTCATCAAAAAATCAATCTACAAATCTTGTAGATCAGTTTCTGTAACTATGATTTTATCTACAAATTTATGTTGCAAACATGCAATCAACCTTCCACTCCTGAGGAAGAACTTCGTTGTCCGGTGCATATGTAGCATACTCGCCTCCATTGAGACTTCGAGCAAATTTCCAAGTTCGATTGTAGGAACGATCTAAAGAAAATTCTCCAATAACTTACACATACGAAAATTTGGTGATTTCTGAAAATAAAAAAGTCCCATACAACCATAAGTCGGATAAAATTTGTGGTTCGATATTGTAATTATAATAAGCGAAAACTTTTAATCTTGTTTCTTCCTTTTATAACATAGAGAAAAACGGCATGGAGAGAAGAAATGGCTCCTACCAGAAAGTGCATAGTCATCTTCGCTTCCATCCCAGTTACCCTGGAAATTTGTGTAAATGACAGATCTTCGAAGTTGGGATTTAATTATCACATTAATATCAGAAAATATTAAGTAGAAAATAATATGTAGTATTTGTAATCCATAAAAAAATACGGTTGCTAAATATTAATTCATACACAATAACTNNNNCTCCTCCGCACCCCCCCTCGACAACAACTTTCTCTGGTGAATCTTCTCTAATGAGTTAGATGCATCACTAGAGAAAATTCAAGAAAAGATATCAAACAAACTGAGAGTGTAAAATTTTTAAAAATCAAAGTCATGACATACTGTGTAAATATCCCCATATCGTCCACCCTTACGCCACGGAACATTATTGGATGCAACGTATCGCATACGAGTAATACGACAACGTGGACATTGCTTGATAAATTGCTCAACGTCGCTTGTAATCGAGTTCCAATAAAATTTTGTTGAAACCATTTTACGTGTAGCATTTAAGCCACCGTGATTTGATTCCAAATGAGCCTAAAAGTAGAAAGAAAACATCTATCAAGAGATGAAAACATTAGAAACTGTGTGTCAATAGATTCTTTCAAAACGAAATTCATTCCTGTTTCCTCATAAAATCATTTATTCTTTAAACTAAATCAAACTTGAATCT